TCCACTGTGCCTTCACAATAAATAATAATCTCACCAATTGGAAAGTTGCACCATTATGGAATTACCTGATATGATAAGCCTTGACAGTGATCTCACAGAACTAGAGAATCAACCAAAGAAAGTTGCATTACATTTGTGGGGGTAAACTATGTACCTTGGACAGTGATGAGTGAAGGCCTTTTATGGAATTTGAAAGCGACACATTCAGTTTTAACTGGTGCATTGATCATCACTTGATATTTTTAAGGATCATGTTCCTCTTTGTAACAAGCAATGTAAGTTTAACAAATGAGGATTTAAGGTTGTGACTGGCACTATTCTATCAATAATAATAAATGAATCTCTCTCGTTACAGGGATACGTTTCTTGATGAATCCTCTCAGAATCATAAAGTAATTAACACACGAGTGAGTAGGGGCAGGAAGATAGAAAAATTTCTTTGATAAGACATAATTCAAGTGTTTTGAGTAAACAATTTCAAATAGAGAAAATTTATCTGGAAACAGTAAGAAAATTCAAAACAAGTCTTGATACAGTCACTAGCTAGTCTCTAAATTTAACTTCTTATTTTAATTTAATCCTTAAAAAGTATGTTAATATTTATCACCTGATTTTGTACTTTTCACTTTTCGATGAAATTTAACTTATAATAGAAAATATGTTTGAAAAATGTGTCACTAATATACTTTTCTTTATTAAAATAATGTAACATTTTAATGATTTAGTTTCTCGATTTACAAGCGTAAAAGAACACTCAATATAATTTGGGATTAATGTCTTATCAGAAATTGATGTAATTTTAAGGTTTAATTCTTTCTCTTCTATTATTTCATTTTTTTTTCATATTATAAAGAAAAATATTTAACTTTATCATCATCTTAAACATTAATAAATTTAATATTTTCGTATTGTCTTGATCTCTTTGTGACATCTTAAATTCCCAAAAACTTTCCCTTAAATAATAAAACATGAATTAAGAGATAAAATATGTATATCAAACATAGTACACTACAATAAATACTGAAAATAACAACAATCAAAATTTGTCAAGTAAATATTGTACAAATTACCGAACTGAATAGGAATTCGTAAGAAATATTTTTATTATTTATTAGATTTTTCCAGTACCTTAAAATTAAAGATTAATACTCCAACCATCTAACTAGAATTTTTTGATAATAATTTACAAATAAATTATATTTATATACAAATAAATGTATATCCATGTAAATATATAAATACAAATATATTTATATATTTTGATATATTTATATATAATTAAATATTTATGTTTTAAAATTATTTAATTTAATAAATTATTATAAATTAATCTAATCATGATTAAATTAAATTATTAAATAAAAAAATATTTAATTTTTTAATTAGGTGAATAATTACTTTATTAGAATATATTAAGTAATTATTATATAATTTTAATGATGGATATATCTGTCGGTAACTAATTATTAATTTATTGATTAATTTACCGACGAAAATATCTGACGGTAAATAATTGTTAATTTACCGGTGAATTTATCGACGAATATATCCGTCGTTAACTAATTATTATTTTACCTACTGATATATTCATCGGTAAGATCAAATTTCACAAATGTTTTATATCCATCAGTAATTTCCGTCAGACTCATTTTCTGACCATTACAAATCCGATCGGAAATATACAATTTTCTTTTCTTACATTGAGTAAAATAAAAAAACTTTAGATACTTTAATAATGAAATAATAATAATAATAAATTTAAAAATAATTATCTAAGACATTAAAACAAACAAATAACAATTTCCATTATGTCTCACACTTAGTATATTATACAATAAAGGTAAATGAAGTTTAAGTTTCATTCCTATAATCTCTTATTATTTGTCAAACTCACGTTTACAGGTAAAGATATTTTAAAAAAATATAATAAAAAAAATAAAGAATATATCATATAAAACGTGCATATAAAAATATTGAGATAAATTTAAACAAACAACACACTAGCATATTCTTAGTCACAAATTCACTTAATTGAATTAAATATAAAAATATAATTTTTTGTTCTAAATACATGTGAGTATGATTGCATGAAGCTTCATGTGTAAATTAACGAAGAGTATATGAACCAATCAAATTAAAAAATTCAAATTAAAAAATTATTCTCATACTTTCTATAATGTAAATAACTAAAAGTAACATACTTGATTTTGGTCACCTTTCATTTTATGTTGGGTATTTCGATGAAACTAACAATGAAGAGATTATCACAAATAAGATATGAGTCAATCATACAAGAGAACATGACATCATCTTTAACCCAAAATATTAGATTATGGGTCTTTTTCACTTATAAATTATTCAAATTTCTCATTTTTACTCAATGTGAAACTTTAATTCTTTTTCACTTCTATTTAATTTCGGACTTCAATTCACTTGAATTTTTAACAATTTTTCTTTTAAGTATGACAAGAACCTTTCACCTACGAAAAGAAATTATAATACCCTATTTAACTCTTAAAAAAAACAATAATAATATTTCTCTAAAAAATAAAAGAACTTAACTACAAAAAGAAATTTCAAATGATTTATAAGATAAATGACATAAATCCTCTGTAAAAGACTATTCCTAAAAAATTATTGTTGAACCTTGCATTTCAATTTGAAAGCCCACGAGGAACAGTCCAGTGACTTGAAATGTGATATTACTGAGTGGTGCACTATGTTGTACTTGTGAATCGTCATGCTTCACCTTTTTGTACATTACACATATTTCCACATTTATTAATTATTCCGAAATAATTGGTGAATTAATATTTTTTTTATTTCTTTATTCAAATATTACCATTGTCAAAGTCTAAAAACACAAACGAAGGATGAGTTGAGTTTTTTTTTTTTTTTGGACCTTTTGATTTTATGGACTTTTCGACCCATACCCATTAAGGCTAGAACAGAATTGGGCAAAAATAGTCCACTTGAAAGTTATATATAGAATTTTAAGATACAAACAAGGGAAATATACAAAAAAACAAATGAAACCTAACCTTACCTAACCCACTTTTCATGGCTTAAGTAAGCAATTTGGTTATCTTCTAATATTTTTTACTTTAACCTAAGTTGTATTTTTTGGTGCTTGAATAAGTGAATCTATTCATTCTTTCCCTCTTGACTTTGTGTTTTCATTATAGGAAGGACAAAGCTGACCAAAGTTAATCATGAACTCACCGACCAAATCATGTGGTCCTTCCCAGACAGATCATAATGACGTGGAATTGAGTAATTGTTGTACTTAACGTTTGGAATTCTGCCTAAACCATTCAAGGCTGTTGAAATTGGAAGACACCCATCTTAGTATCCTGTTATTTGTAAAAGTCAAAGTTAGGCCTCAAATCTTGTTATTTTTCCTTCTAGAGTTTATATTGTGTTACTCCACTAAGCTTTTCTATATCATCCTTAAAACCATGGAAAGTGAAAAGGTGTAGCTTTAAAATAAGAGTATGTGTTGAAGGCAGAATATTTTAGGATGTGTAAGCTGTGGAGCTAAATACAAAATGGGAATCTGCAACGCATTATTTACAAGTAGTTAATCACATGCACGCCTTCACTTTGCAATGTACAAGAAGTACAAACAGTTTCCATGTGGATTGAGGATGAATACAAAAGCAAAAAATGACATGCCACCTAACAAAGTTAGGGGGTACCTTAAGTTATTCTGTCTCTATAAAGAAAGAAAAAAATAAACGAAATTGAGATTAAGGGCCTAAGAGGATTACTTTAATTATACACCACACCACTAAGTCATGTATTAAATAACAAGCAAATAGATCCAATAGATAGCCATCAACCACACCTTCGCAAATAATCAAGCAAACCATGATGATTCTATGGCAGAAAACACCATAGGCTACCTGCTTCCCAACAACAGAGATAGTGTGAAAACATATTCAGGTGTTACATTATATATTAGTAGATTTCAATAAATAGTAAAACTATTGCAAGGTTTACTATTTTTTTAAGATTTGAAAAGTATCCAAACTTTTGAAAAATTCTCCCTTTACAACTAAAAAGAGAATCAAATACTTAGATACTCGGTTGAATGGTTTATACTCATCCTTTAAAGAGGAGAAACAGATACTTAAATATTCTATCATATTTCTCATACTATTCTACATGAAACCTAAACACTCTAAACTATGGTATCTCTATGAGGAGTTTAAGGCTAAAACTAAAAGGAATGGTGATGATGATAAGTTGGACCGACCATTTGAATCATGGTTAAATGGGGACCTTGAAAGTTCAATCATTCAATGTAGATATGAAGGGATGGGACCATAGAATCGTGTGAGTGGCCATGTGTTATTCACTTTTGGACAAGTTGTGTTTGCAACACAAAGGCAGGGCTCTGAAAAGGGGAGGAAAAATGGGTGTCCCACCCTCAAATCTCAACTACGTGATGGGGTACACCTTGCTTTTCAGCCACCCTGTCCCACTTTAACAAGGACATGACAATACCACGGAATAAAAGAAAAGAAAAGAAACTAAACATTTTTCTTTATGACATCATGTGGCGGTGAATGTGATAAGAGATTGAGACCTCTACCACCATTTTGACCATTATCAAAGCATATGCTTGGCGTTTTCAATCTCCTTTTTACACATAATTTTTGTTGACATCAGCAACAGAGTACAAATTACTAACTGCTGATTCATTCTACTACTTCATACGCAGACAACTCAAAAGGAAACTAACATATAAAGTGTGATTACATTTGTGATCATTGTCAAAACAAATCCCCCAAAATTTTATTCCTTCTCTCTACACATTGCTAATCTCCCAAAACAACTAAACAAGACACCACCACCAAAATATATACAAGCAGTTTGATTCTATCTCTTCACATCATGAAAGAGTTGGCTTCATTCCATTGCAAGTGGAGAAAGTTTGATATATATATTATATATATGTCTTTCTTTCTTCATGTTTTCTTCCACAGCTTGATGTTTTAACAAATGGCACAAGCATTGGGATTCTCTTCCATGCTTTGAACGTAGTAGTATGTGGTCATATGTGGATTATAAGCTTTATAAGCCTTCACCAACTCTAAAACTGGATCTGGGGGTGGGGGTGGTGCCTCTTTCTTCTTCTCCTCTTCTTTCTTCTCTTCTTCTTTTTTCTCTTCCTTCTTCTCTTCTTTCTTTGGCTCTTCCTTTTTCTCCTCTTCCTTTTTGCCTTCCCCCTCCTTCTTTGCCTCCTCTTTCTTCTCTTCCTCCTTCTTTGGCTCTTCTTTCTTCGGTTCCTCTTTCTTCTCAGGCTCCTTTGCTGGACCTACTGAGACTATGTCTGTCTGCCAGTACTTCCGAAGCTTGCTCACCACATTCACTGGATCAACGGTTCCTATCACTGTTAATTTCTTCTCCTTCATGTCCATGGAGATGGCATCAATCCCTACATGTTCGCACAATTTGATTGTTAGGAGTTCTTTGCCTTAAAATAATGACATTCCAATGAAAAACAGTACAATGCCTTGGGTTTCTTCCTCTAAATACTACTGCATAAATGGCCATACTTCAAATGTGGAGGTGGCCAATCCAATTAATCAGACCAAACCAATCAAACAAGAACTATCTTGTCCAGCAATATTTTGTTGAATTCAAGATATCTTAAGTTCAAAGATTTATTCAGAGAACTGAACTCTCTCATTACGTATGCTTTCTTATACAGATAAAACCTCTTAATATGTGTTTAAGAATTCTGCAACCTTCCAAGTTTGATATTGTTCAGTGACCTCAGAACTGAACTTTAATCTTACTCTTCAGATTCAAGAGATGTTGGCTTGATAAGTTAGTAATTGAAAGTTTACCAATTACAAACTGTCATGTTATATTGAGGGAACTTAATGACTGTTAACAACTAAAAGTTTAAGCAAAACATTTGGACCTTGATCTTCTTTATATAATAGGTTTTTGTCCTTTGATTATTTTTAAACACATCCACACGTATTTTCTAATAAATTCTTTAGTTAATGTAAACCTGTGCAAATTTTTAAGTTTAGTAGACAATAATATTGTCAAGAAAAAAAAATTATAGGTACCACTGCACCAGAAGAGTGAAACCAACCACATCCCTTCCAAAACAAGAAAACCCAATTCAAAATACTTTAACATAACCACACAACAATTTCATGACAGGCTAACTAATATATTAGATAGCTGTCAATTACGGAATAAAAATTATATATTTCTTAATTAATATTCATTGGGTATGTCTTCATCCCTAAACAAAGACATGACATACTCTGTAACAAGATGGCCCAAATATTTATTTAATATGGTTGCATCTAATATAATAATCACTACAATAACATTGTTTTCATTCACTTTCTGAGTATATTTTTATACTATTATCACATCATGTACGGTACACACTGAATATCATAATCATAATCATAATAAATATTAAAAAGTTAAAACCCTGCAATGAGATGGTATAATATGATTAAAATATAGGGGTAAAATATTTCACAGGACCAAAGTTCACCAAACTTGGTTAAAATGACCATATAGATCGCTGCTCAAATGTCACGTGACAATGATTTGGAGGTTGCGTCACACCATCAGGTGAACTATCACTCTCTTTCGCCCAGATCTCAGAATTTTGTAACATTCCCCAGATTTGGGCATTCCCCAAAGCATAAATTTTAGATATCATGGTATTTTGTGGAAAAAGGGGTGAACAATGATTTGGTACCTGAAAGGGTTGAAACTGTTTTAAGGGCCTTCTGTTTAGCCTTGTCATCTGGCAAATCTAACTTGAGTACAAACTTCTGCAAAAAAAATTGAATCGAGTGATTGTTTCATTCGACCCAGATTCATAGCATCAAATCTGAACTATGTAAATAAAGTGGCACACTTGAAACCTTTTATGGCACTTTATGCATGTCCCATTTGTTCAATTAAATCAACAACATTTACCCCATATGTTAAATTTTGACATATTCATGAATCTGATGAAGAATATAACAATATTCATTTCAGACACAAAACCCAGATCTTTATCTAGAAGGAACAAACAGAAACAAAAAAAAGAAAAGAAAAGCATAAAGTTCAAGAGAATCAAAAGTGAACCATGGTTACGAGTCAAAGTTTATAAATGAATTATGATTTACAAATTATAAATTATGAACTATACTTTACAGAAAAGGATAAAGAGAAACCAGAACTAGAAAGCGAGAATCATACCTTCATGTTTTTTTATCCCTCTATGTTTTGGAGGGATGTGTGTGTGGAGATGTAAGGCAGAGAACAAATGTGAAAAAGCTTGAAGAGACTGAGAATAAGAAAATGGTTAGCTAGAATAGGAGATGAGATGAGATGAGAAGAGAAGAGAGAGTGCAATACGAAATCGATTAATGGTATGTTGAAAAAGATATGGAGTGAAGAGTTGGACAGATTTTAATACCGGAAAATCCGAAACAAAACAAGATTTGCAGAATAGGAGAGAGAAAGAAAAGCTGGAGAGAGAGAGAGTAAGTGTAAAAACCAAACCAAACCAAAACAAAGCGAATCATCGAGTATGTTATTGTTATATAGAACTGTGTTATCTGTTATTTACAGAAAATAATGTATGAGGGTTATGGGGTAAGAGGAACAGAGTGAGCCCCTCTACTCTACGCATGAAACTGTGATAACAAAGCAAAGTTTGTATCACTCTCTGACTCAGCATAAACCCACGCGATGCTGCTGAGCGAGTGACTACTTCCTCGTGGACCACCACAAACAAACTTCTCATTTCAAATATGTTTACATGCAAAATATATTTTTTAAATTGTTTGAGATTATGGTAGTTTTTATTAGTCTTTTGTAAAATTTCTCATTCATTCGGACAAAACATACGTTTCTTACTTTTGACATAACAGAAAGTTTTGTTTTGTCAAGGTAAATACTTTGATGTACAATGTTCCTATCTATTACTCTTTCATCTTTTGGTGATGATGATGATTGGTACCAAGAATTATGAGAGTTTTAGAGATAGAATTTTTAGAAACGTTTATGATTAAGTTTAATTAATTATTACTTCGTTTTTAGAAATAATCTATGATTGGTTTCGATAAAGGTTGATTCCTTAAATAAAATAATTTTAGGAATATAATATATTTTTAAAAATACTTTTAATTGACATAGTAATAATTATAACGAATGATTATAAAATTAATAATTATAATTATAATAATAATCATAAAGTAATGATGATAATAACTACCATTAATTATAGATTCGGTAATAACTTTAATGAATGTAGGTATAGAGGTTTTATTTTATTGACAAATTGATACTCTTATAAATATCTAAAAATGTATTAATATACTTTTTCTATATGAAATGTTATCTATTATAACTGTGTGAATCCACTCATATAAAATTGTTTCATCTTAATAATTGGTTTGGATTCAATTATTGAATATATAAATATTTAGGAGAGTTTATCCCTATAATAAGCTTACACAAGTCAAACTTAATTTATAGTAAAACAATTAATTACTCTCAATATTTACAAAACTACAAAGGAAGCTTGTAAGTTTTCATAAGGTTTTCTGAATATCAAATAGTGGTAGGTCTTCTACTTTTTTTTTAGAGACTCAATACTTATGTATAAAACAATTAGTTGTGCACTTTATTTTAATGAAAATCATATTTTAAAAATTAATAAAAAATAAATAAATATTATTTATTTATTTAAATATATATAGCAAAAACAAATTTTTTAATGGTGTAGTTTATAAATTAACGTGAGTCGTACACTTTTAAAATATGTATATATATTTTTTCATGATTATAAAGAATCTTGTAATTTTTAAGGAAAATGGTCCCCACTTCTTTAGTTCACTCTATTCAAATCACCTACTTTTACTTTCTTACATTTTACCCATCTTAACTTTTTTTAATTGAAAAAGTTAAAGCATATATATTTTTAAAACATAAAGAAAGAAGATAGAAACAAGAAAATAAGACAGGGAATTTGGTACCCGTGAAGTCCTATGGCACAGATGCAAATTAAGACTGAGACCATTGTCGATCCCAATATTACATATTAATGCTTTCCAACGACAAGTGTCTCAAAAATTATACAACACACTGCAATTCATTGATGTTAAAAGGAAGCAAAACATTTTGATGGGTAACACTCCAACAACAACAACCTAAACATGAAGAGAAAGAAGGCAAAATTCACAAGGTTTTAAGAAAATTTGAGGATTTTAATTTATATTTTATCTGCAATATACATCTAAGAAACCTAAAAAATCATTATAAATACATGTTTAAGTTATTAACCTTTAACAATTTCTTCTATCACGTTTATCATAAAAATTCACGATGCATTATTATAGAATAGTGATATTAATAAAAGTGTAATCTTATTAGACCATGTTTATCGAAAAGAATACTTGAGTTGTCAATCACTATAATATTTTATGACATGACATATGAGTAGGAATCACAATACTTAATATGTTACTTAAATTATTATATTTTATATAACTATATCATGTATGATATATTTTCTGTCAAGATTCATAATATTTTGGCAACAAATTTTTCTAAAGGTTTTTGAGAGTCTAAAAGGTTTCTATAAATGTATAAGATTGAACAAGCATGTATGAAATATATAATTTCTTATATACATAAGCATATTTCGCAATTTCACGTATATGATTTTTGTTGTTTTGTTTAATTTTAAATATGTTTTGGTCTATGAAAAATATGAGTCTTTTTATTTTATTTTTTCTCATAAAAACATCAGTTATTTTAAAATTTGTAGTATTTTTTAACAATTATATTTTAGTCCATACCTTAATTAATTATGATTGGTTTAATTTTAAAGGTAAAATTTTTAATTAATATAGATCAAATGATTCAGAAATTTTCAAATTAAATAACTATGTTAGGCACATAATTAAATTAAATAATACATTTATTATTTAATGGAAATAAAATAAGTATATATATTAGTTTTATTTTTCAATCAATAATTTTGTACTTTAATTAAAAAAAATTACTTATATTTATAATTTATTTTCTATATTATAATTTAATAATTGTAAAATAAGTTGTTTTATAGTAATTTTTAAAATATATTTTTAAGACTTAATAATTATAATATATTGAAATTATATGTCACTAATGAAAATACAAACGTTAAAATGTTTGTGTGTTCACTTTTTTATAATTATTTTATTTTTAAATATTATTTTTAAAATTTTTTATTTTTTAAATACATTTTATTTTTTTCTTGTTTCATATTTTTATTATTTTTTTAATATATAAATCATAATAACTATTTTTCTTTAAATTATAAAATTGTTATTTTTTTCTTCCATGACACCAAAAATGAAAAAAAAAATTTCTCTTTATATAGTTGTAGATCAATATAAAGTAAAAATAACTACATGTTGTTATTTATAATAAATCATAAATTTACTACTAAGTTAAATTATGTTTAAAATCTTAATTTGAAATATTCATCTAACTTAATTACACTTGTTAATTTTTTTAACATCTTAATCTAATGCTATAATGAATTATCAAATTCCCTATGTATTTTATTCTGCCCTTAAATTTTTAAATTGCCAATATTGTATAACGTTGTGGTTTACTTTTTTTAATAATTTTATTCTTAGTTTTGCATATTTGAGTTGTGACACATGACCAAACCGCGAAAAAGGAAATAACTAAACAAAGGTTATAATAATGCTAAAATATTTGTGTTAGTACACAATGTTGACATGTTAACCGCTGTAGAGTTTGAAGTCTATACAACAGCCATGGACATTACCCAATGTGACAGTCAAATGTTGTTTTTTTTCCTAGCTGTTTGCACAATTTGTTTTATTTTAAAAGTTAATTCTACAATATTAAAAAAAATTAATTACATATTTATTATGAACAAGTATTAAGGAATATTAGTTAAATGTTTGTAATTATACAAACATAAAAAAGTTTACAAAAGGTTTTTTTTTTATCATGGATGTAATATTTTTTTTAACAATATCGTTTAACTCGTTTTAACATATGACACTATCAAACATGTTTCACAAAGCTCATAAAAAACCGAAAGTGCTCGTTGTTATCCAAATATATTAATAATGAAAATAGCAAGTAGTTGGATACATTTAGAACACGAAACTCGCGTTCAAATTAAGAAGAGGGGATCTTGTTCAGTGCTTCATTCATAAAATAAATAAACAAACATACCAAGGTTGTTTTCATACCAACACAAAACAAACAAAAGTTTGATGCAATGAGTAACGTTTGAAATTGGACCCTAATATGTCAACTCATTCTGTGGCTCATATTATCCAATTATTTGCAAATTTATTTCTCTCATAATTTTGTCTTTGATCACTCTCATAGCAAAGAAAAAATTAAACTTTCATCATAACCATTTATTACAATATTTTTACACTTTTAATCACAAGTAATAATAACAACCCTGTTTAATAAACGATTCATTAATCATCATTTTCTTTCTTCATCTTACTATTAAATAATTTTATGATATATTTATTATATCGAAATTGTTTTCCACAACCCTTTTTTTATTTGAATATATTCAATAATTTTACTTTTTCCTTCATAGATTTAAAATTCCAAATATAGTATAAATGAATATCAATTTTATCAGAATACAATTATTTTGTGAGAAAATTGCATCAGAATACTATGCATGAATGAGGAACAAACAGAAATTTGAGAATGCCACGTCTGGTGGGCCCAGTGGGCCCAGTGGACGGTGCCATAACATAGTGTCGTTATCACTTTTTTTCAGTGGCGTAAAGTACAGTATATCTACAGTACACCAGTTTATGACAAATACTTCTATCACCTCAACAATTCCCTAGGCGCATAGAGTGGCGCGTGACCGCGTCAGTTGTCCTTCGCGTCTTTGATTTCGCACGAGAGTGGTTAGTTTTATTGTTTGTGGTGTGGGTCCCAGGGTTGAACCTTCAAATCACGGTTGCGGGTTTTTTACAAAATTGGCGGCTGCGGCGGCGGGGCTCCCTGTATTTTAGAATCACCGCTGGTGCCGCCATGGTTATAAGAGCCCATAGATGAGAAATAATCCAATTTTTCTGTTTTTCTTTTCTTTGAAAAAATGTTATAATTTTTCTATGTAGTAATATGAAAATTTGGTAGTGTTATAATGTTTTTGAGCATATATCTGTGCGATTTTTTTATAATCTAAAGTTTAATATTATAAATGAGAGATTATCATATTTATACACCAGTTGATTAACGTGTGAGTTAGTCAATATTAAATATTTCATGAATTGACTATTCTTTAATTAAAGTTTTTGGAGTTGTGAATTCCATCCACACGTATCAAAACATCCAACACGGATTCCATTATCTACTTAGCCTTTGGTACGGTAAGTAATTTTTTTTAATATTTTATTAAACAACTTATAAAAATAAAAATAAAATATCTTCTTTAATTAGAAAAACTGTATTAATAAATTTATATTTAAAATTTTTAAAATAAAAAATAATTCATATAAATTATTCATATTGAATATGTCCTCATTAATCAAAATTTTAAATTTTAATTTTACTATTGACAATAAAATATTCATATCTACATAATGTGTTATTTCCAGTGCTAGTTAAAAATGTATCACGATGAAGAGTGTTTTTATCCGAACATGAACATCGGTAACAACGTGTGAGATACATCATTGTAAAGAAAAAAATTAGAAACAAGGATAAAAGTTTATATTATTCCACACTCTTAATATTTTAACTGTCCATAGACATGAACAATATAAATGTAAATATAACAGAATGACACATGCTAAAAACAAAATCACCATGTGAAAAGAAAAAAATAAAAACAGGGATAAAAGTCTTTATTATTCCACACTCTTAATGTTTTAATATCTGACCATTATATAGATAAATATTTGCAATACAACTGTAAACATAACAGAATGACACATGCTAAAAACAAAATCACCAAAAAAACTAAATAAAATAATAACAATTAAATATTATCCATATTGACAATCATTAAAATGTGTTACTAAGATAAACAAAGACTCAATGAGAAAAAATATTCTCAAACTCAAATCAAATTTTAAACAAGATATTTGTGAGATTAGAAAATAAATGGTAAGATGGAATTTATTTTTCGACTATATCTTCTTAGGATTGAAATAAAAATAAAATTAATAATATAATACTGAATAATAATTAATTCAAAATAATGTATAATTATATTAAATAAAACATTTTGTTCGAAATAATAATTTCATATGTTTTATTAATATAATTTTTCTTAATATAGACATCCGATCAATGGCCAAGTTGAGTAATCAAAATGTATATAATAGTCTGAAAACAATATAAATAGCTAATGATATTTATTTGAAAAAAAAATAATAATACTGTATAAGTTAAAACTAATTTATAAAAATTATCGTATATAATTTCTTTAATTTTTTATTTTTTATCTTATAAACAAACTAGTTTTAGTTTACGAAAAAAAAAACTTAATATTATATAAATGTTGATAAAGAAAAATTCTAAATGAAACCTTAAGATTCAAATGCCAAATGGTACAATGAGCTTAACAAAGTTATTGAGTTTTATTATAGTCCACAAAAAATAAGTTTTTTATTTATATATGGTTCAAGGTTTTGGGCCATATGTAGTATTGGGCTATGACCTGGGCACTGCGGTCTCATAATAAAGTTGATAAAGTGGGCAATTAATTTAGGGTTTAATTGGTAAGAAGAAAACCAATAATTTGGGATTCTATTTTGGTCCCACATGCAATGCACGTACGCAAGTACTTTTGGTGGTGGCGTATACATCTCAATGGCTTTTCTTTCTTTTGAGATTATTGTCTTTGAGTTTTTGTCCAGCAATTTTAGTGGCCATGCTGATCATTATCTACCTACCTAGCTATGTAGATAGCCCTGCAAACTTTTTTCTTTTTCTTTTGCTATTTTTTTTTAGGTTATAAAACTTTTTTCTTTAATGATATGATGATATTCACATGTGATGCTAGCTTCTATGGCTAATAAGTAGTTTCCAAAGAATATACTTTTTGTCTACTCCATGCTATCCATGCATAATTCCAAAACTTTTTTTTTTCTTCATTTTTTTGGGATACCTATTTATCATCAAATTAATCCATGCCCAGAAAAAATTTGTGATTTTATCCCCTTTAAATACATATTTTCGAAATTAATTTAGGAGAAGTCAACAAATACTCCATTATCCAAATTACTTTTTTAGAGCAAAATATATATATATATATATATATAAGTTGTAATGATATGTAATTAAATTTTTGAAGAGAAATAGGATATCACCAAAGTATTTATAAAAAAATATAAATACTTTGAATTAAAATACAATGTTTAAAATAAATTATTCAACGAAAAAGTAAAAATAACATATAAAATTACATTATTTTATATTAAATAATGAATATATTAATCAATTAAATTATGTTTTAGAAAATCTAATTATTTTGATTTGAAATATTATTTATTATCTAAAAAAACGATTCAAAATTATTAAAGATTTAAAACTAATAAATATTTTTAAATATAAAAGCAAATGATATCATATTTACAAGATAAAATTAGATTTTAATTTATTATTTTTTTATCAAATTTAAGTGTGTTGAAAATAAATACTATGCCAAATAAATAATTTTTATGTACGTAATATTAAAAGATATTATTCAATTTTTAATTGCTATTATAATTTTTTTTAATTGTCGATATGATGATTAATGGAAAGAAATAATCATATGATTTTATATAATTATTTGAAAATTATATAATTGATTCTATGACTTAACTTTTAAATAATGATTGTGTATATTATCATTAAACATATAAATGATAATCTTAAAATAATAATATAAAAATTTAAAAATAAATTGTTGAATGGTTTTTTTTTTAATATCTTAAAAGAATTAATATATAACACGTATTTATCAATTTTAACCATTATTATTCACCTATATATAATAATATTTAAAATATCGATATTTTAGTTTAAAAATTACTATTTAATCATAAATTATTACATGTAACAATTGATTGAATTTTATAATAATTTTCTTAAAAGTGATATATATATATATATATATATATATATATATATATATATATATATATATATATATATCACTCTGAGAATAGAATCTAGCGAGGGTGTAGTTGAGTGATTGAAGCCTCATTCAGTGATTCCTGAGCTGATCTAGCAGTGGATTGGGTCGACTTTGTTTGCAATGAATTAACTTTCCCATGACATGTTTGGAAGGCTTCCAGTTGCACTATCCATAAAAAATGCAGGTTTTTTTTAGGCACTGGGAGAGTGATAGAACAAGTATTAAGCATGAGTGCAACATTAGCCATGGTTGGTCTGTTATTCAAAGTTTCCTCAACACAGAGTAAATCAATGTGGATGCATCTTATCATTTCATTTTGTGAACTATTATTCTTCAATGTTAGATCTATAAAACTTGTAACTGTCCCCTCTACCGAGTTTCTCCATGCCTGCAACAATTTCCTCACCACTTATTAGTATAGCTCACCAAATTCCATTTCCTCCTTAATTTTATAGTACTTGTTAAGGTAAACCTCACAAAGTTTAATACATCTTCCCCATTCTTCTCATTACAAATATAGTGGTTCTTCTGGCCACTAACAATCTCAAGAACTAGAACACCAAAACTAAAGACATCTGATTTCACTGAAAACTGTCCACCCGTTACATACTCAGGTGCCATGTAACCACTGCATAAGAATATGGTTTACAACAGCAAGTCAAACAAAATACACAACTATATTTCAAGAACTAAAATCATGTCCAAGCTATTTTGAATGATTTTAGATATTATATAAATAAAAATTTTAAATTAAGCTTTCATGGCAATTTAGCATATTCTAAAGCTTACTAGGTTCCAACAACCCTGCTTGTTGTATTTTCTTGTGTCTTATCTGCAACAATCAATCTTGCCATGCCAAAATCTGATATTTTAGGAATCATTTCTTCGTCCAAGAGAATATTACTTGCTTTGAGATCATGATGCATAACGGGCAGTCGTGAGTCTTGGTGAAGGTAAAGAAGACCACTAGCAATACCTTCAATGATATTGTAACGTGTATCCCAATCCAATTGTGCTTTCTTTTTTGAATCTATTTGTGTGAAAACCATTTGAATTTCATAACATGTTAGTGTAGTTAGTGGTGTTTTTCATGAAACAAAACTGAAGTAACAAATAAAAATGTTTAAACTTTTTGCTAGGAACAAATTCATAAACAAGTAGCTTTTCTATTACTTCCAAACTAAAACCAAGAAGCCTAACTAAATTTCTGTGTTGAAGCTTAGCAAGTAAAAGAACTTCATTTTAATTCTAAATCTCCTTGACCAGAATTCCTTTTGACAACCTTTTAACAGCATCATTTGTCCATTAGAACATCTCTAAAGGGATTTGTTAGAGTTACTTAAAAATAAAAATATATATTTTATTATTAATTCCACATCTAAATTGCTTGAAAGGAAAAAAATTATTTAACTTTAAAAAAAAGTTATTTAAATAAACAATTCTGATCAAATTTTAAACTATTTAACTAAAAGATCTATAATAAAATATTCAATTTTTGTTAAAAACACTTTTTTTGAGATGCTCTTAGACAGTTTGCCTTAAATTACACTGTCATGTAAATTTATTTGCAGTTGCGTTTATTGGTATATATACCATGTTTTGATGAAGGTGTATATCGTAATAAAAACAATGTCATCATACCTGGTAAACAGATCCAAACCCGCCCTCTCCTAATTTATTAGAATCATAAAAGTTACTTGTTGCAACTTGTATTGTGTCTAAGTTGAATTGCAATGATTCAGCCATGTCAATCTCATCTTCTTCTTCTTCAACTGTAATACGAGTACAATGTTATAGTTAGTGAGTTAAAGAACATCAGGAGATATAATTTATGAAAATAGAACAAAATGGTGCTTCCTTTTTTTTTCGTTTTCTGTGTTTTCTTTATTGGAAAATTTTCCATTTCTGCGTCTACTTAATATTGTTTTCATTATTATCTACTATGGTAGATTATATAGGCTTGAATTACTACTACATATATGTCCATTAATTTAGAAAGACTTTTGTGGCCATCTCTTCGAAATTCATTCTGACAAATAGAAAGTATGAATTACATATACCAGGTAGAAGATTTTTCATTGCTATCCTTCTAAAGTATCTGCTAATAACAATCAGCAGAGCAAGAACAACGAGAACAGTTGGCACAACTATGACGATGGCAGTTCGCAAAGAGTTGCCGTGATTTTCTGCAAAAGAACCAAAAATATCTTCTACTCGATAAGAATTTTCATATATTATGATAATAATAAAAAAATATTCTAATAACTAATGCTGATAAACAAAGGGCAACATAAGAATAACGAAAACTAAACCAACCAAGATTATTAGAAATCTGAATTCTCATTAAACTAACATTATTTTGTGTTCTTAACAAGTTAGTTTTATTCCTTGTTAAAAATACTTTCCTTCCTTCTTCTCACTCTTTTAACAATGAATGACTCTGTTTTCCGCGAAACTGATACCGGTGCAGGATCTAATACTGTGGTAGAGTCGTAGAAGGGGTAAATTTCAAACCTTGTTTTTAGAAAACCTTCGGATATCTGAGATGCTCCAATCCAAGCAGTCACTGCATTCTTGCCTTGACAAATTCGGTGCACACTGCATACGACCGTATATGGTTTGAAAACTTGCAACAATCGCAGTATCCGTGACATACTTACGACGAGAGTCACCCCATTGCATGCAGCTTTGTCTCTTAGATTTCTCACTAAACTCACCCAACACTTCATTGAACTGATCCACATTCATTGCGTTGTACGTGCTCTGCATGTAATTGTTGGAAACACAAATATAATAAGAGACAAAAATAAATAATAAAAATACAATAAATTTACCGAATTACTTAAAGTGACCTAAATTTACTATTACACTATATCATAGTTCTTATTAGTACAATTACATTTATAATTATACTAGTATTTATTAGTACAATTACATTTATAATTATACTAGTATTTATAATAAAAGAATAAGTAAATAGCTCAAACCTAATAACCTTTCATCATACTCTACTTGGAGGCTGATCACATCAAATATACTCCAAAATAAATCTAGTAAATTTTAAAGTTATAACAACCTCAAACTAGTGTAATGTCTTCTAAACAATTAACCATGAAAGTCAATAAGCAAAACTTGTAAACACTTTGGTCAATATATCTACAGGATTATCTGACCCAAGAATCTTCTCCCAAAATAAAGTATCATCATTTATCAGTCCTCTAATGAAATGATACCTCAATTGAATGTACTTTGTTCTTGCATGAAAAACAGGATTTTTTGCAAGATGAATGACACTTTGACTATCGCTATACTAGAGGAGAAAAGAAATTTACCTGCAGAAGCACACACGAGAGAAACAAAGATAGAAAAACAAAACTCAGACACACGAGAGAAACAAAGATAGAAAAACAAACTCATACAATTGCAAATCCTCTCATACAATTTTTGCATAGAAAAATTGCAAATCCTCTCTTGACACACAACTACCCAAGTCCTTAATACACCAAAAGACTACTATTGTTGTAGTGAGTAAACTCAAACTATCACCCCTTATTTATAGCAGTAATCTACCACTCTCCTTCTTCAAACTACCTTATGTGAGACTTTCGAGGATACCCACATACTTTGGGTACAATATATCCTCCCATCATCCAAAGTCTCACTGTTCTGGCCCACGTTCTGCTTCTCTTCCTCCCTGTCACATTGCTTCTCTTCCTCCCTATCACACTGCTTCTCTTCCTTCCTTGGACAAAACCTCAATTCTTTTCTAATGTGTAAGATCAGATAATAGTACAACCACAGAGCATACTAAGAATTAAGAATCCCACAGAGCCCCACTTTAGACTCCACATACTTAACAATCTCTCACTTGGAGGCTGATTACATCAAACACACTCCAAAGTAAATCTAGTAAACCTCAAAGTTATAACAACCTCAAACTAGTGCAATGTCTTCTCAACAATTAACCATGAAGGCTAGTTGAAGTTATGCAAAACTTCAACTTCTTAGTAGTAACCACCTTGGTCAACATATCTGCAGGATTCTCTAACCCAAGGATCTTCTCTAAAAACAAAGTATCATCACTTATTAGTCCTTTAATGAAGTGATACCTCAATTGTATGTGTTTTGTTCTTACATGAAAAACATTATTCTTTGCAAGATGAATGACACTCTGACTATCGCTATAAAGAATATTGTCACTTTGTTTCTTGCCTAGCTCCTCAAGAAAAATTTTCAACCAAATTATTTCGAAATAGCCATGTACTCTGCTTCTATCGTTAAAAGTGCAACACTTTTCTGAAGTCGAGACATCCAACTAATTGTTATACCACCTATTGTGAAGACAAATCTTGTAGTACTCTTCCTTGTGTCTAAACAATCTCTCAAATCTGTATCAGAATATCCTTTCAAAATGACATCATTTCTTCTAAAACATAATACAATTTTAGAAGTACCTTTCAAGTAGCGTAACAACCACTTGACAGCTTCCCATTGCTTTCATCCTGGATTAAACATGAATTTACTAACAACTCCCACTGCATGAACAATGTCTGGTCTAGTACATACCATTGCATATATTAAGCTACCGACTACAAATGCAATAGGAACTTTAGTCATTGTTGTCTTGTCTTCATTTGTCTTAGGTGACTCCTCTTGAGTGAGATTAAAGTGAACTCCCAAAGGTGTACTTACAATTTTGGCATCCTGCATATTGAATTTCTTTAACACTTTTCCAATATACTTCTCTTGAGATCATATTAAGGAACCTTCAAATTTGTTTCTACTGATGTTCATGCCCAAAATCTGCTTTACAATACCTAAATCCTTCATCTCAAACAATTGTGTCTTCAATCTATTAATTTTATCCATGTTAGAACCTGCAACTAACATGTCATCAACATATAGTAATAATATAATATAGGATGAACCAAAAATTTCATATAACAACATTGATCCATGACACACTTCTTGTACCCTATCCTACTTATAAAACTATCAAACTTTAGGTACCATTGTCTAGGTGTTTGCTTCAACCCATATAAACTCTTGGTCAACTTGCAAACAAAGTTCTTTTTCCTTACAACTTGGAAACCCTCTGGTTGCATCATGTAGATATCTTCATCAAGGTCACCATGTAAAAATGTTGTCTTAACATCTAACTGCTCTAGATGTAAATCTTCTGCAGTCACAATACTTAACACAAGTCTAATGGTAGTCATTTTAACTACAGAGAAAAAAATATCATTATAGTCAATACCTCTTTTCATCACTAACCTTACCTTGTATATTTTGTTGTCATTATGTTCTTCCTTGATCCTGAAGACCCACTTATTCTACAATGTCCTCTTTCTTGTTGGTAGGGTAGTTAAACACTAAGTTTTGTATTTCACAAGTGACTTCATCTCCTCTTGCATGACTAACCTCCACTGAGTTGCATCATCCATCTGCAATGTCTCATATAACACAAAGTTTCTCCATCGTCAATCAACAACAAGTAATTTGTTAAAGGAGAAAACATATGAGGAGGCCTAATAACTGTATTAGACCTCCTCACTTCAACTACTGGGGTGACAGGAGTAGTCTCCTTAATAGTCATGTCTCTTGTGCTCCCACCTTTTCCTGATAGATCATCTTTTGTAATGTCTTCTAAAACTACCTTTTCCTTCTCTGTTTGCTTCTTTTCAACTTCAACTTTTGTCTCAAGTTTATCCTTATACATTGTATTTTCATCAAATGTAACATCTCTACTTGTAATGATCCTTTTGTTCTGATCATCCTAGAAGCGATATCCCATATTATTTGCTCCATAGCCAATAAAAGTACACTTTCTTGCTTTCAGATCAAGCTTATACTTGTTAACATATTTAATATGAACATAAGAAACACAACTAAATACTTTTAAATGAGAAAGACTTACATCCTTGTCTTGTCATTCTTCCTCAGGAATATTAAATCCTATGGGAACTAAGGATCCTCGAGGTATGCTATTGTGCTCACTGTTTCTGCCTAAAATATTTTTGGTAATCCTGCATGAATTCTGCCCTCTCAGTCAGGGTCCTATTCATTCTTTCAGCAATATCATTATGCTTAGGTGTCTAACGAATAATTTTAAGCATTCTAATTTCATTCTCAGTACAGTAATAAACAAATTTAGTATTACTATATTTACCACCATTATCAAACTTTAAACATTTAATTTTTAACCTGTCTCATTCTTAATAATGACTTTCCACTTTTTAAAGGTATTAAATAAACTCATACCTTTCTAGTGGAATCACCAATGAAGGTGACATAGTATCGTGATCCTCCCAATGATGAGACTGATGTTAGCTCATACATATCTGAATGAACAAGTTTCAACTTCTCTACCTTGGGCATCCTCCCTGACTTTGCAAAAGTAACTTTTTTATGCTTTCCAAACACACATGGTTCACATAAATCAACTTCTACCTTTTCCAGTTCTGGAATTTTTCCCTTTGAGACTAGTATCTTCATACCCTTCTCGCTCATGTGACCAAGTTTTTAGTGCCACAAAGTTGAAGAATGACTAAAATCATCACCAACATAATTATTAATTGAATTTACTTCTTCTGTAGGTAATTCTGCCATGTATATGGTTTCTTTCTTCCAATCATGAGTAACAATTAGATTATCATTCACCACCTTCCATTTGTCTTCTCCAAATATGACTCGATATCCTTGAACATCTAACATACCCAGAAAAATTAACACTCTCTTGAGTCCTGGAATATATCTGACATCCTTCAGAGTCTATACTATACCCTAGATGTTTTAAGATTTATATCTTTCATGCCTGCGATGTCTAAAGCTTCATTATCTGTTAGACGCACTTTGCTAAAACTTCCACTTCTGAAATTTTTCATCAAGTCCTTGCAAGGAGAAACATGGAAAGATGCACTAGAATCCATGATCCAGGATTCAAACTTGCTTTCAACACAACAGATCAACGCATCATCACTGTTTTCTTCTTTTGTTGCATTCATTGTATTGTCATGCTTCTTTTCTTTAGGAGTAGTACATTGATTCCTAAAGTGTCTGTTCTTCTAACAATCCTTGCAAGATTTGGACTATCTTTGCTCCTTGGACTTTAATCTACCATGTCCAGAGTCTTACCCTCTTTCAAGCTTTCTACCTCTTCCTTCGGTGCTTAATAAGGAATTTGTTGATTTTTCCGTATTTCTTCTATGAACATCCTCATTAAGGATTAAATCCCTAATTCCTTTAAAGGTTAATTTCATAGTGATATGAATCACAAGGGGTAATTTATGATATTTAGGGTTAAAACATTGTAAGAAATTTAGGAATTAGAAAGAAGGTGGAAGGAAAGAATCACTCTTCCCAAGGGAGGCAACACACAAAGAATGTGACAGTCCTTTGATACAGCCAATGGTTCTTGAATCACTCAAGAACTTAGGAGAATCACTCTCACTAAGATAAAAGAGATAAACTCTAATATTTCTAAAAATAAACTCAACTTGTTTTTTTCTGATAAAAATGATTCAACTTATAAAGAAGCTTTGTCATCTGAGTTACAAATATTCATTAAAGAAAAATAAATGCTAATAATGATTTATTAACCTAGGAATTGAAAACTACTTAATGATTTATTGTAACTGAAATTGTAGCATCCAAA